TGTTCATAATAATCACAAAGCCAATCATGCTAATAAGATGGGCATATACAAGGTATATTGATGAATTCTAAACTACTTCTGAAATTTAACATCAGATACATCCATAAGTCTTAACTTCATGTCCTTGATATTTTCCATTTGTCAACTTCTTTTCTCAGGCTCTAATGCCTTTCAGTACTTGGCCTTAACATCCTGTACAGAGATACAAGTTAGATTTTCACAAAATGATAATGTGATTTGTTTCATTTTGACTTTGCATGTTCTGTATAGACAGTCATTGTGGTTTATAGTTTAGTAAGATGTATGAGCCCAGTCGTAGTAATGTATTCAACAAAACATGGTTAAAGCAAACCATAGCTTAATGTGATGTGTAAACCTGGATTCTTTTTTCAAGTATTTTGCTGTCAAAATTTGGAACAAAACTCCTATCATTCGTATGATGTCTTAGTGGGCATGTCCAATTATAAAATGTCCATTTTCCAAAAGTCGAATTGCTATGGTTGCTCCCTGCCACTTTTTTTTATCTCCCTCCGCTTTCCAATGGTCCCTGCAATCTTAGTCTATCTGCACAGGTTATCACATTTGCAAACAAATTTTGGGGGTGGCTGCAACTATGGATCATGTTCCGTTTCTAAGAATCTTACAGACCATCTGCAGGCCAGAGATGTTCTTGGAAATATAGCTTGTCCTGGAAGCTGATGCTTTGCTTGTAGCCTGCTAGCTTCCCATTCTTCACTTGTTTTATAAATTAAAAATATATATACCAAGCAAAATTTAATTAGGATGGAGTAGGAATCTGATCAGTGACAAGTGAAATATCCATAGGCATCTTACTTGATGGTCTCTGTCTCACACATTCCATTTTCCCCCTCTTTCATTTCATTCTCCCGACACCTTCTCCAAGCCTTTCAATGCCACACGAGTGAATGCAGCTGACATTGAAAACAGGGTGGAAATGCTCAAAAGGAGGAGTCAAGCAGAAGAGGCAAACAAAGGTGGTTTCTGGGAGGAGTTTGATGTAAGTAGAGTTTTCTACAGTGAGTTATTCCTTATATTTTTGCCTCTGGATTCAATGTTGCAATCCAAAGATTCATACACTATTTCTGGAACCTCTAGCAGCCCCAGTGAAGACGGCTCTAGGGAGCTGTAATTCAGCAACATCTGAAAGCCAGAATTTCCTTACCCGCAATACAGTTGTGGAGGAAATTCGGACTCAGACCAATGGTGTCTCAAGCTGAAATTCATTTCCTTATCTTAGAAACCACCAGTTCCTATGCTTTGCTGATGCGAGGTGGCCTTACCCAACAGGCACATAATCAATAGCCATACTGTAATTGTGAACTGTAACAAGTCCACTAATTGAACAATTTAAATATTTGAAGATCTATTTTGGTTTTTTTCCCCTTCTTTTTTTTAATATGGATTAGCCTCTTTTCTTCAGCTTTTAATTATATCTGCCTTATTAAAAACTTCTCTTCATTTCTTCCTTCAGAGCCTGCAGAAGCAAGAGACAAAGAACCTGTATGATCGACATGAGGGTCAAAGACCAGAAAATAAGGGCAAGAACCGCTATAAGAATATCTTGCCATGTGAGTTTGGTATTCAACCTTGCTTAACCTATGTATATAATATAATACAGTCAGATGACTAAGGGGTAATATTTCAACTGCAGGAGGAGGATTTTATTTACAAGTACATCTCTGCTTTTTGAAACAACTAGTTCCATAAAAATATACAGTTAGCATTAAAGCAAAAGTCTAGTTAGAACTTTATTACATGTTGCACAACCTTTTGTAGATACATATGAGCTAACTTTCCACTCAATAGTTCCTGATGGGTAGTCAAGTCAATTTTCTTCCAGCTTGGGTGCCCCAAAATTCAAAAGAAAAATGTCAATTTTTCAACCTGAGCAACTTTTGGTAATTAGCAAGGTTATTTAATTTTCTATAAAATTTGACATATAATAATGAAAAAATGCCGCGTATCAGAAGCATATACAAAAAATACAAAACTAGCAAATACCATTACACGATTAAAACAAGACTACATATTAAAATCTAAAACAAAAACTGATAAGCCAAGATAAATGTGAGAAAATAATAGAATATGACTAAAACTAGAGGGGGAAGAGCGATAGTGCAACTCAAGCACCTTGAGTTCTTCCATGGGATTGATGAGTGGTGGCCTTTTTCTCATGAAAGAAATTCCTGCCAATCTCTGCTTCCCAGTTCTGTGGTTCTCCCATTCCCTTCCCTTCAGCTGTGAAGTCACCTGAGTGTTGCGGTTACAGTGGCTTTCCTCAGCTTTGTTTACCTGTTGTTCTTTTTCCTCACTGCCAAGACCATGGGTTGCCTGCTGAGGGATGTTTTTTACTCTCTCTCTCCCTGGTTGGAGAAAGGGAATGCAGATTACCCCTTGGCCTTGCTGCAGTGGCTGTAGCTAGGACAATCATGGGCCATTGTGGGAATGGCCCAGAGTGGTCCCTTCCTACCCTATGATTTTATTGATGGTTCTGTGAGTTTACTTTGGGAACGGGGTGGTCTTGGTCATGTTATATATATATAATGATATATAAGATGCAGGCAGGAACAGTATACACTGAATGGCACAACCAAGTAGCTGGCATTGTGTACAGGAACATCTGCACAGTGTATGGGCTAGACCCTCTCAAGTCCAGATGGGAGATTCCACAGAAGATTGTAGAAAATAACAGGGCTAAGATCCTGTGGGACTTCCAGATTCAGATGGGCAGGCAGGGACTGGCCAATCAACCAGACATCATGATAGTAGAGTAGGACCAGAAGACAGCAGTGGTGATAGATGTAGTAGTGCCAAGTGATAACAACATCAGGAAGAAGGAGTATGAGAAGCTGGAGAAGTACCAGGGCCTGAAGGAGGAACTAGAGAGGATATGGAAAATAAAGGCCAAAGTGGTCCCATTGGTGGTAGGAACACTCCTAAGCTGGGAGAGTGGCTCCAGCAGATCCCAGGAACAACCTCAGAGCTCTTTGTCCAGAAGAGTGCAGTGCTAGGAACTGCTAAGATACTGCGCAGAACCCTCAGACTCTCAGGCCTCTGGTAGAAGACCTGAGACTGAGGAAGGCATATACCATAGGGGTAAGAGGGGATTTTTAAAAAATATATATACCATCACTACCCCCATTCCACCTCTGTGATTTGGGAAGTTTCATTCCAGTTGATTTCTGTCTGTCTGTTTTTTGGATGTGTCTGTAGACTGTTATGAAAATGTGCTTCTCTAAATAAAGATGTTAGAATCCCCTTGCAAAGAAGGAAGTGGAGGAAGTGAGGAATAATATTTTGCATTTCAACTATGTAGTGTTGTTGAGATTGGGATAGGACAGAGCATTTGCCAGTGCTATCTTGGAAATAAGAACTTCAGCACTGTTTCCAGATGCTTCAGATAGGTCATAAAAAATAAAAGCTGTCTCCTGCCATTTGTATCTAGAAAAGTTACCAAAATCCTCTCACAAAAGGTGTGATTCTTCAGTGACATGTTACTTGTCTGATCTTCTAGTTGACCACTCCCGAGTCATCCTTCAAGACAGAGATGTGAATGTTCCTGGGTCAGATTATATCAATGCCAACTACATCAAGGTGAGGATTAGTTTACCCTGTAATATCTGGAGGAAAAAGGAATGGGGTGGATTTTTTTCTTGGGTTTTTTATTTCATCTCTTTATTCCTTGGTAGAACCAGCTGTTCAGCCCTGAGGAATGCAGTAAAACCTACATTGCCAGCCAAGGTTGCCTGGATGCCACCATTAATGATTTCTGGCAGATGGTATGGCAAGAAAATTCACGCATCATTGTGATGACCACTCGGGAGGTGGAGAAAGGAAGGGTAAGTAGATTCCCCTGAAAATCTCCAAGAATATACCTTTTTATCCAACTTTCTATCTTTACAGGGTACTGTGTCTTTTGTTTCTAATTTAGTCTATCTCCTGTAAGAAAAGATCCCTTAAGGTATGTTGCTAATCTCCAACGACATGAGCCAAACATGAAGCACAAAAGCTCAGCATAAACTATCTGTGCTGATGAGAGAAACTCAGGGAGAGGATCAAATGGGGCAGAGAAATGCTTAATCATAATTCTTCTCCTGAAGAAATGTGCTGTTGCACCTAACGTTGAGTTGGCCTTCTACTAAAATCACTTTGGCTACTGAAAACATTCCAAAGTTGCATTTGAGGAGGAACCTGTAAACTTGTTTCATTTCTTTAAATGAAGATTTAAATTTAAATTTAAATAAAGTTCCAATGTTGCTCTTCCAGTCCCTCCCCCTTATCATCTTTCTGTTTCCTAACAGAACAAATGTGTTCCCTACTGGCCAGAAGTAGGAAGCAGCAAGGAGTATGGACCATATATCGTGGAAAATAATGGAGACCATGATGCCCTAGAATATAAACTCCGACACCTTCGTCTTTCACCAATCAATAATGTGAGTACCTGAAGCCTTAGAATATATTGTTGCAAAAATTAGTTCCTGGTCTCCTGAGGGATAAAGCTGACAGAAACTCCTCTTGCATGAGAAGGCAGTACTAATGGAAGACTTCAACCAGACTCTGGACAGAAGTATTTCCTCAGTCTTTGCAATGTTTTTTAGAGATGCACAGTGTTCCCCACCCCGCTTTGAATTCAAACCTTGGTGGGAACTAACCAATGAAAAGAAAAGGAGACAGAAGAAGAATAATCTTTTTTCTAGTTTGGTCTGTCTGAATAGAAGAGGAGTCCTTTTGATGATGATTTCACCCAAAGGACTTTGGTTGGATAGACACCTTTTGATCTCCTTCCAAGGGTTGATTGAAAGCCTTCATTCCCAATGGTGTTTGGCATCTCAGTGCAAGCTCTCCTAGAGGTTTACTTCCTCCCCCCCCCCCAATTGCAACGGCTGAGTATAGTGACAAATGTCTGCTAGAGTTTTGGTTATGGAGGATCCTAATGCAGTCAACAGCCTCAGAAGAGCAGAGACATAGCACAGGAAACCATACCCACATCCCTGATATGTCATCTGGATGACCACTTAGCTATATCAACAGAGTGGTCTTGGTGATGAGAAGGCTTCATTTTGGGAAGAAGCAGCACCCCCCGGGAATCCACCTTTTTCTCCTCAGACCTAGTGACAGTAGCGTCTCTGGCACACCATTTAACTTCTTCTAATTATACTTCATGGTCCTTCACCTCATGATTTCCTCCCAGGCAATGATGGGATTCAAGCTAGGTAATCTCTTTCATAGTTCAAAATATAATTGAAGTCACCACAGAAACAGCCAGGGAAGCCAAGAGGTGCTGTGGCAATCCTACATGCCAGGATGGTTCCCTTCTTCTGAACTGGTTCCAATAACAGGAGTGTTTGAACTTAAATTTAACACTTAAGACAACCCTGAATGGGCTGGCCATGAAGGAAAGTATCAGGGAAGAAACCGTCAGTGTGACTCCTTTCTTCCTGAAGCTGAAGGTAACTTAGAAGAATTCTAACACAACTGGAAGATCAGTTCCTTCAACCAACGGGTGGTGGACACCATCTGAAAATGTTCTTGATTTCTTGCATCTGCCAGGAGACAAATTCATTTCCTCACCAGTTGCAAAGATTGCCTTTCTGGTTTACAGGAAAATTGTACTTTTAAACACTAATTATTCTTGAAAGAAAGGGTGAGAAGCAAGCCATTGCTTTGTTCAGTTGGGGTTTGTTTTTAATTGGCTCACCCAAGAAACACAACTAGATAAAAATCTGAAAGATTTTGTCTGAAGGATAAAACGCATGATGATCAGGTTCCTCTGGTTGGTTAGTAAAATGATGGAAGCTGCTTATGGCAAGCAAGATAAGATAATAGCGTATCATCATAAGGATAGATCTGCGATGGGAGGAGCAATAGTGAATGTCAGCTCTGAAAAGTTAAGTTAAGATGTCAGGGATATTCCTAATGGGAAAGAAACAAAGAAAGTACTTTGTCCATAGCGTAACATGGCATTCACCACCATATCATGTGATGAGATGGGTACTACAGCAGTGCAGGGAAGCCATTACAGAGGAGGGGAAACAATATCCCCGTGTTTAATCTCCCTCCCAATCTTAGTAACTTTTTTAAAAAAAAGGAACACTACCACAAAGAAAAAGAAAAAAACAAAACTCTGCTGTGATGGGAGGTATCTTTCCTTTTAGCCCTCTTGGACAATGAGGGTAGAAAACCAATTTTAAACAGCATCAGTGGCCAGGCTGGGGCCAAGTGTCCTGTTTTTCTTCAAGCTGGAGAGGTATATTAAAGAAGAGAGAGGGAAGAGAACATGAAGGTTTAAAGATCTAAAGAAAGCATCTATTCTTTAGCCATTGCTGACCAAATCTGCTTATTTTGGGTGCACATATCCACTTGGATGCATAAAGAGGTAGATGGGAATAAAATGGACAGAGCTAACATGAAGGTGTGTGTAAGTGTAGAAACAGGCAATGCAAAGAAGTGGGGTTTTACATTTACCACCTCATAAACTGGAATAATGATGGAATATCATCTCAGGAAAATAGAGAACTGTAAGTTTTTAAAAAGTCAGAAAATAATGAAGCAAAATTGATCTGTGCACAAAAATGAACAATACTTTTCCCTTAGTTCTATGTTCAGCTTAATACAGGATCAATTGTTCAGTGTTACAAGTGCCAGCTGGATGTTTAAGAGACAGAGAAGAAACAATTATTCCTCTTCCTTGCATCTTCTAGCGTCATTTAAAAATCGAGTATGCTTGATTCAGAATACTTTGGGAGAACTGTCATCAAGATTGCAAGCACTATCCTTTTGCAGAGGTATTCTGCCAATTTTTTAGGGAAAGTGGATCTCAAGACACCCTCTTTCACTTGTTTGCTCCTTGGCACTTTCTTTGCTCCACAACTTTATCAGAGAACCTGATATAGCATTTGAGATGCAGTATTAGATGAAGCCAAGGTCACTGGGAATGAACTAAGCCACAATGATGCCTAACGCATGACGTCCAAATGTACCAGTTCTTTAATGGGACTCACAGAGGAAAACTTCTTTGTCCGCATGGAGTTTCCAGATGGCTGGCTGGCAGGAAAGGGGAACTATGCTGATCTTCCACTGTCAGTACTGGGAGCCTGGTGGGTGTATTTTTTAGTTACTGCAAGCAGGATGGAAGAGCTGGAGCAGTGTAGGATAGAAGAAAGAGTAGCAAACATGTGGGTGTGCTTTGTGTTCACATACTAGGGTGAGGCTGTGAGAGACATCTGGCACTACCAGTACCTGAGCTGGCCAGACCATGGAGTGCCCAGTGAGCCTGGAGGAGTTCTTGGCTTCCTTGATCAAGTCAATCGGATGCAGGAGGGCGTCCCAAGGGCTGGACCCATCATAGTGCATTGCAGGTGAGTGTTATGCTGCTAATGAGTGCATATTGTGAGATAAGCCACAAAGAAAACTCTGCACACTAATGGAGAAGTCATTAATCTGGGATCCAGCAAAACTGACTAAGTTTTAATTATTATATTCTTTTATTAAAAGTTTTAAAAAGAAGATAAAAACGAATACAAACTAGTATAAAGTAAGAAAGAAAAAAGAAAAAGAAAAAGCTAAAAGTGCAAAAAAGTAAAAGAAAAATAGAAAAGAAAGAAAAAAGATACAAAGAAGTGGCTTCCGATCTTCTTTACAGCAATTATAAGTACAAATAGAAAAGAAAGAAAAAAGATACAAAGAAGTGGCTTCCGATCTTCTTTACAGCAATTATAAGTACAAATAGAAAAGAAAGAAAAAAGATACAAAGAAGTGGCTTCCGATCTTCTTTACAGCAATTATAAGTACAAATAGAAAAGAAAGAAAAAAGATACAAAGAAGTGGCTTCCGATCTTCTTTACAGCAATTATAAGTACAACTATAAATTTACCTCTTTCTCTAAAGTTACAACATGTCTCTCTCCTTTCTATAATTTATTCTGTCTAATCATCAAAACCATAAATCATAAGTTCATTTTTTTCTGTTTTCCACAAAACGTCTATTAAAAAGGCCTTGAAAAGTATTCGGAAGCTGCAACTGGTGCAGAATGTGGTGGCACGGGCAGTTACGGGTGCCTCTAGGACTGCGCCTGTAACACTTCTGCTGCGCAAGCTGCATTGGGTGCCGGTCTGCTTCTGAGTCCAATTCAAGGTGTTGGTTATGACTTTTAAAGTCTTTCACGGCACGGGCCCAGGTTACCTGAAGAACCATCTCGTTCTGGTTACATCGGCCCATCCCACCCAGTCCAATAGGAAGAGTATGTTACGGACCGCATCACCTAGAGAGTTTTAGCTGGTGGGGTCCAGGAGGAGAGCCTTTTCTGCCGTAGCTCCCGCCCTCTGGACTGTCTCGCCCACTGAGGTGAGATCAGCCCTCGCTCTTCCAATCAGCCTTCTGAAAGGGCGTCAAGCCTGGCTCTGCCAACTTGCAGGGGGACTCAACAGGGTTGGCAGCACTGGGGGTGGTTGGTAGCTTGAGGACACTCTCTCTGCCTTTTTAATTTGTAGTTTTAACTTTTTAGTTTTTATTTTAACCCTTTGTAGTTTTTAACTTGTATATTTTCTCTAAGATTTTATAGTTTTTTTTACTTGTAATGCTGTCTAGAGTCACTTGTACGGTGAGATGGGCAGCAGGTATAAATTTGAAAATGAATGAATGAATGAATGAATGAATGAATGAATGAATGAATGAATGAATGAATGCTTTCCAGTCAGCAATAAATGTAGATATTGTCTTTTCACTAATCAAATAAGTCAATTTGGCCATCTCAGTGAGTTCTATCATCTTCACCAAGATTCCACCATTATAGGTATTGCCAAGTACAAAAACAAAGTTCCATGATTTTTTTTCGTCCATCAGACCCAAAAGAAAGACCTCTGGTCTCAGTTGTATATTAATCTTTAAAATCCTCTGAATCAGTGTATGTATTTAAGTTCCATGATTTTTTTTCGTCCATCAGACCCAAAAGAAAGACCTCTGGTCTCAGTTGTATATTAATCTTTAAAATCCTCTGAATCAGTGTATGTATTTGAATCCAAAATTTTCTAGCTTTTTTACATGTCCATTCAACGTGATAAAATGTCCCTTCTTCTTGTTCACATTTCCAACATGTATGTATGTATGTATGTATGTATGTATGTATGAAATGTATATGCTGCCCATCTCCCCCAGAGTATCTGAAGTGCCTTTATACATTCTAGAGAATTTCTCTGGTGACATATCCCAGCGGTACATCATTTTGTAAAAATGGTCTAAGATTATAACATAGTGTAAATTTCAACCCTTTCAACCATTTGTCCCATTATTCCATCTCTATATAATAACCAAAAAATTTAGCCCACTTTATCATACACTCTTTCACTTGTTCTTCTGTTTTGAATTTCAATAGAAGTTTATACACTTTAGCAATTACATGTTCATCATTTGTACATAATTCCACTTCAACTCAGTCTTACAATGTTTAAAACCATAAATTCTTTTTTCTACTTTAAATCTTTCTAATAACGGTAAATAAGAAAACCATTGGCAACTATGTTCTTCTGCCACCAGTCCTTCTCTTGATTTTATTTCGTATTCCCCTTGACAAAATTCTAGTATCTCACAATAAGTTAGCTATTTGTATTTGCCTATTGTCTATAAAATGCTATTTGTTTTAAAGGTGTTTTTGGGCACAACCTGGATTTGTATCTATTCCATATTCTCAATATGGCACATCTAACAATGATTTCTAAAATCCACATTAACCTTGACTTTATTGTACCACAAATATCCATGCCACCCAAAACTCAGATCATGTCCTAACTCCAAAAGCCTTCTGTTTCTCAGCAGCACCCACTTTTTCATCCAAACCAAACAGCAAACTGCAAAATACAATTTAAAATCAAGTAAACCCAATCCTCCTCTTTCTTTTGACCCTGTAACACCTTATATTTAATGTGTGTGTTTTTCCCGTCACATAAATTTAGATATATCCTTTTGCCATTGTTTAAATGGTGCATCAGTTGTCAAAACAGGTATTCTCTGAAACAAAAACATCATTCTAGGTAGTATATTCACTTTTATTACAGAAATTCTCCCCAGCAATGACAGTTGTAGTTTCTCCCATCTTAACATATCTATTTTAACTTCATTCCATATTTTATTTTGAAATACTATACAGATAGTCCTCACTTAACTATCGTTCATTTAATGATGGTTCAAAGTTACAAGGCCTCATAAAGGGTTCTTTATGGCCCATAAAGAACTTCTGGCTGTCATAAAACGTTGCCCCCCCCATGGTCATGTGGCCACATTTCAGGCGCTTAGCAACCAGCTCACATTTATGACCAGTTGCCAAGCGCCTAGCGATTGTGTGATTGCCATTTGCAATCTTCTCTGCTGGCTTCCCCAGAAAGTCAGTGCAGGGAAGATTGTAAGTGGAAGGGACAGAGGGAAATCTCTCAGTGGTGTGCAGGAATGGAGCACAAATCCTGAAGATTTGAGCTCCATTCCTGCACACTGCTGAGAGAGGGGAGGGGAAAGAGGATGGAGTGAAAGAGCTATCTGCTGAAGGATTTCAATTCCGTGCAGAGCTGAAATACTTCAGCAGACAACTTTTTCACTTAGTCTGCTTAACCACCCAGGAGATTGCTTAATGACCGCAACTGGGAGTGCCCGGATTGTGGTTGTTGAGTGAAGCAATCATGTGGGTATCTTGTCTGCCATAGATCTTCACGCAGAAGCTGATTATATTTTTGATAAGAATGAACATGGCTGGGGAAACCTCAGCAGAGTGTTTTCACCTCCCTAAATACAACATGTCAGTGGTTCTCTATCACCTCATTGGGCCCCATGCATGAATAATACTGCCCTGTCTCATACTCAGGAAGGTAGTTGGGTATATATTGTGAGCTAGTACTAGGATACTAATTGGGCTAATATGTAATGCTAATCAGTTTTAGCCCTGAAGGGAAGGCTGAAAGCAATTTGCATGCAGAAGGTGAGGAGTAGCAGCAAACAAGTTCATAAAATTCATTCATCAATCCATGGAGATCTGGTAACATTAGTATTGCCCAGTTGTTAGAGACTGATGGGCGTGAATGCAAAGTCTGTGACTTGGGAGCATATCAAGCTACTAAGATTGAAGGTTGGTCTGCCTACCTCAGAAGTGTCTACATACAAAGTACACTCTTCAATTGAGCTATACCCCCTTCCAGGGCATGGCCCTGCTGAATAATTGGTGGGACACCAGTTTTGCTTTCATTCCTGGTGGGAAAAAAATCTCCAAGCTAATGAAAAGTTGGCACAGTGTCTAGGTTTCTATATATTCACAGAGCTCAGTAGCAAGTTTTGAGTTTCTCTACTTTCTCCCATCTTACCTGCTTGTCCATATTGAATCTTGTCCAGATTTGTGGGATCAGTTTTAGGTTTGGGGGCAGTGAATATTCTCTTGATTCTTTCCCATCATGGCTCATTCAAGGGAATTTAATGAATGGGACCTTGGGATGCATAATTATGGAAAGGGTAGTTCCACCTGCCATTAAGAAGATGGCAATCCAACCACAGTTGAAAAAAAATCCTCTGTGGACCTAGATTAAAATAAGGAGTGCCCAGTGGCAATTGTTCTTGATGAAGTGACTGAGTCACTAGACAGTAGCTAGTATAGGTGGTCACACAACTGTACTGGAAAGATACTGATCAACTAGATTAATTTCAGATCTGGTGAAGGGGGGAAATCAGTTGCCTGATTGATTATCTTTGCTAGAAGAGAGATAACAGAAATCTCACTCTGCCATTCACATTAGATATCACCACTTACAAAATTCTACTGGCCTAGTATTCCAGCTACAATTATCGGAAGTTGGAGGCCTCAACAACTTCTTAGTCACTTACCCTCAAAATTATTGCACTGGACAATCACAATCACTGGAATTATTCCCAATAAATGGCAATGGTAATTCCTTTAGACAAGTTTTTAAAAGTATTAGATTCATAGTGGATGACAAATCAACAACTTCTCCTCCTTCTCTAAACCTGCATAAATAAAGGCAATATACACCTGGAAGGATTTGAATGTTTGGGAGAATTCTGAAATAGCAGGTTCTAGGTGGTTTTTAGAATGTTTTGGAAGTGGTTTGAGTAGTGATGGAAGGTGTGGGAGAAGTGCGAACCCCCACTGGGACTGTTGATGGTGGTAGCAAGTGAGTGGATGTCAGTGCCAGTGGAGATTGCTAGGGGTTGGTGGAAGAGTTAAAGTGGAGGCTGGCTCAGAAAAGCCTGGTGTGAAGTGGATTGTTAGATGGAGGGGCCAGGTCTTGGTTGGTGAAGGTTACTTGGCTTGCTGGGCTGGTGGTCTATCAGACTGGTTGGTTGTTGAGGGAAGCTGTCTTGGCCTGGTGTCTGCTTGTGGTCACTGGCGATGGAAAAGCAGAGGTCTGTCTGGTGGATTTCCTTCCTTGAAAACACGTAGACCAGATGGAGCTGCAGTGTTGATAATCCTACTTTGGAGGTTTGTCAGACCTTGGGTGGAGAGCAGTGGGCAGACATATGACAGTAGGGAGCCAGAGCAGTGGGAGCATGGTCAAGCTGATGGATCTGTTTGCTGCTGGCCTGAGCCCTGCAGCCACCTAGGCATAGCCTGTGGCACTTAGACTATTCTCGTCATGGAGAAGGTAGCTGATCTGGCATATATAACTGAGAACTAAGGGGGTCCAGAGATGTTGCAACCCAAGGCAGGGATATGGTGTGTTATCATCTAGGAAGACTTGTCAGCTCTCAGAGGTCCTGCACTACAGATAACTGGGGGGTGGCATCTATGGAGCAACTGGGTTTGTTGCTGCTGTAGTGACTTTCCTGCTGCATAGTGACATCCATTGCCAATTGATTTCATTGCCAGGTTGGTGATGGAGTCCCCAAGGCTGATAGTTCTTGGAATCTCAACCTGCCCTGAGACAGCGTTGAGTCTGGTGTAGCTCAGGAGTCTGTGGATACCATGACAACATTTGACCAGGTGTTACATACCAGGTGTTGCACATCAGACCTGGTTTTTGTCTTGGGGCAGGCACAACATAATCTGCAGGTGACGGATCACTCTGCTTTTTGGCTTCCTGATGCTGCCCAGTCCCCAGAAGGTAAACCATTTTGCCCCAGGTGACTAATGTATCCAGTCGGGTTCAAAAGGGAGCTTGGGGTTTTTGCCAAGAATCTAGTGGACATTTGATTGAGGCCATAGTCCTGGCTTATGCAGCATTTCCCTGTGCATCAAACTTGGGCTGTTCCTTAGTTTTCTGAGGAGCTCTGGGAGATGAAATGACTAAAGAGAGGGCTAGATTGCCTTTGAAGGAAAAGTGAATCTTGTGGAGCACATACAAAAGCCCATATTGGGGATTATATCATGGAAATAAGAGTGGCAAAACATAGCTATTTTTCTGCTCTTATTGCATCCACAGAAAGCTAGCCAGTGGCCCTTTCAAGGCGACCCATTTGTTGCTGGGAGCATCTATTGCACTGCTGTGAAGAATATTCTAGGCATCTAGCATATAACATTGCTCAGATTCAAAGTGATGGAGGGGTGGTCTTGCTTGGTTAGCTGGAATGAGTCTAACTATGTGGCTCCTGAGGAAACAGACAGGATCCTCCAGTCTGTTAACCTGTTCACCTGTTGGTTAGGTCCATGCCCTTCCTGGTTGGTGAAGGCCTCCTGGGAGGTGACATGGTTCATGCGGTAGTGACAGCTTCATTGAAGAAGGGGGTGCTCCCACCTGTCTTGAAGGAGGTGGTTGGTATATTTCCTCAAGAAGTCATCATTGGACCCAATGGTCCTGGACAATTTTCATCCAGTTTCCAACCTCCCCTTTTTGGAAAAGGTAGTTTAGAAGATGGTTGCACTGCAGTTTCAGAGGCCCCAGAGGAAACCAAGTATCTAGACCTTTTCTGGTCAGGTTTCAGGCCAGGATGTACTATGGAGACAGCATTGACCACACTTGTTGATGACCTCTGGAGGAAAGAGAATGAAATGGCCCCTATCCTGCTCTTCTTCAATTGGCCCTGAAGACCTGGCTCTTCCCTAGGCTTTGGGCTAAGATGAGTGGAGGATTTCTTTGGGTTGGTGTGTATGCAAGGTTGGTCGTGGTCTAGGAGAGCCACTGTTCTTTCCTTGATTCATTTTTTTTAATATTCTATTATTTTTGCCACCCAAAGTTGTCTAGAATTGGGCAACCTAACTAGCGTGATTAATAAATAAATTCTCCTGAGCTTTTCTTTGAAATGCTCCAGAAGTATCTTGTCAGACAAAAAATCTAGGCATAATCCAATAAGGCTATTCTCTCCTCTACTCTCCTGTTAACATCCTTTGGGAACACTGGCTTTGGCTACTGTGCCCGCTGGTTCACTAGAGTGGAGAGTACAAGGAGCACTGCTTTCTCTGTGATAGCCCCTCCATATTTGTTAGATTTTTGGTGCCGATCTCTAGGAAAATGTAAGACACTTATTTGTTTAAATTGTCTGTTCCTGAGTTATGACCATTTGTGCATTCTGCTCTCAAGAATGTCATAGTTGGCTCAGTTCTGTTAGTGCTTTTAATATATTTATATAGTTTGGATCAGACCCCACTATTGTTTGTGGAAGAGTCATAAAATGATATAAATGTGCTGAAATTTGTCTACTTTGTGCCCAGAATGCACTCCCGTGCCCATAATCCCCATTTCTGCCTTTCTCTACAGTGCTGGGATTGGACGCACTGGGACCATCATTGTCATTGATATGATCGTGGATATGATCTCCACCAAAGGTGAGTCCAGTTTTGTATCTGACCTTGGACTGGTTTAAGCGTCCATTGCTGCTTCCCCCTGGTGACCTGCAAACCAGCAGTGGAGGCTGAGAACAAAAACAGCCAAATATTAAAGGGTCTGAGAGAAAAGGACAGTTTGCAAGAGGACTGTTGGGGGTGCCTCCCCTGTGCTTTGAAGTGCTTTCTGCCCATCCTTGAGACAGCAGAAAACTGGACCAGTGTGACATTTGCAGTCCTCATTGCTGATCCCTATCCTGCCTCTCTTGCCTCTGTTTCAAGTCACTGCAGCCCCATGGCTTCCTCCCAAGGCAATGGGTGACAAAGGCCAATAGATTTTGCACACCTTGAGAGAGTGTCAGAATAAGCAGGAAAACACTACCCAGGGATAGCCACGGATCATTTAAGGCTGGCTCCCTCATGGGCTGGGAGACACAGCAGGAAACAGAGGTTGGCAGAGCCTGTTAGGGATAAGTGGGGAAAGGCCCTTGATTAGCCATGATGGGGAAGTTGCTACCTCTACCTTTCGGGTGACACCAATCATGGGCATTCAGAGCCAAACACTGCATGAGGATAGGTCCAATGAAATTTAAACCCTGACCAAGTAAATACTGACTGTACTGAGGTTGAAATCCCACGGAAGTTAAGAAGGTTACTCCAGGTATCTTTAATCCTATTTACATCTGTTAATGAACTTAAGCAGGGCATTTTTGCCACTATAATCAGTGGGATTTAAAAGTGCTTAAATGTTGCTGGATTGTATCCTTTGTTATGAATTAGTAATTAAATCTTTTATTATAGAAAGTTACCTTTTCATATTTAACCATTCATAAATGTCCTTAAATGCTACCGAAAAACAGCCTAGAAATTCTGAACAACATGCATACTTCATCAGAGGGAACTATCTTAGTGCTTCTGTGTAAACATGCCAAAAAGTCTGCACATTTTTAACCTGTTTTCCTTTTCTCTTTCTCACTGTGTCCCAGGACTGGACTGTGACATAGATATTCCAAAGGCCATTCAAATGGTCCGGTCCCAGCGCTCAGGAATGGTGCAGACTGAAGCTCAGTACAAGTTCATCTATATGGCCATATGCCAATTTATAGAGACCACCAAAAAGAAGCTGGACATTATGCAGGTATAGGATTGGAGGAGGCATGCAAATGCCACTCTGTTATTTTGTGTGATGGTTATATTTTCCTCTAGAGAAGCAGATGGCGCCCACCAAGATATAGTTAGCTCCCTAGCAAAGGGACGGTAGCTATGGCACGCTCACCTTCTAGCAGCCATGTTAGAGACACTTGTTAGAAAAGCAAGCTGGTTTATCCCCATTGGTTTAGCCCTTGTCGTCTGCATTGGCTGTGTAGTAAGCAGCGGATCTTGGTTGAAAGACTTGCCAGTCAGTGTCGCGGCAAAGGAGAGATTTCAAGTTCCTTCAAAGTCAGGCCAGAGAATGGAAGAAGAATGGCTTTGCTTCTCATACAATAAGAGAGTGAACAACTAACACCCATCTAGCCATACTCTTACCCCTTTTCTCCTTGCTGCAGTCTCAGAAAGGAAGACCAAATGAGTCTGAATATGGGAATATCACCTACCCACCTGCCCAGAAGTCCTCACACCCCAAAGCTTCTAGAAAATCCTCCAGGTAAGAATGCTATCACCGCAGCAGCATCATCATCTCCTGTATTCGTGACCATCTCAAAGCAAATAGTAACATTTATGAAGGCAATCCAATGTTCTGAAAGTGGTAGAGATTAGATAATTAACATTTGTCTTTCCTGGAGCAAATTCTAAACAGGCAAGTTTCATGTCTAAAAAATGTTCAGCAACGTTAACTTTAAACTGGATGGAAGAGGAAGAAACTAGCAATAATGAACGTTTTTCTGGTTTTATCAGTGACATAAGTAACACCATCCCAAGCTTTCTTTCTTTCTTTCTTTTTTTGGTACTATCATTGAAAACAAATCTCTATGTGAATCAAAACCTGGAAACCACATCCTAAGAGATAGGCTGAAAGATCTGGGTATGTTTAGCCTAGAGAAGGAAGGATGAAAGGGAGTCATGATGGCAGTCTACAAATCCTGTCTACAAATCCTGTCACACGCAAGAGAGATTACTTGTCCTTTGTTGCTCTAAAATTTAGAATTAACGCCAGTTGATGGAAGTTGCAGGAAAATCACTTTCAGCTTAATATGATCAGAACCTTCTAAAACTATGAGGTGTTCAACAGGCTGCCTTAGGAGCAACCTTCTTTGCTGATGCTATTTAAGCAGAAACTAGGCAACTTGATGAACTGAAGGGACTCTGAAATTTGATCCTGCGTATATGTGAAAGTGGACAATTGAGCTCCAAAGTCCATTCTAATAATATGATTCTATGCCATATACATGCTGCATTAAAAGGCCACCTTTAAGAACATTACATAACCTGCTCTATGTATGAAGAATACACAGGAGTCAACATATTTCAGTAGAGCAGAAAGCATCTCTCTTTGACTAACTGGTATGGCTGTCTATCCTACTGGTATAAAATTGGATTTAAGTAAGAGTTGTCACATGTTCTCAGAATGTGAATGTGAGTCTGGACCTAGAGACTAGTATGTTCTCATTTATTCTTTCCACCCCACCTCAACCCATTTTGCTTAGTGAATAACTTCCTTATTTTTTCATGTAAATCAAATCATACTTGGTTTGTTTATGCAAACTGGTTAAGTGTGATTTGCCAAAAAAAAACAAAACAGGCTTGAAAACCATAATTTGATTGTTGCTTTCTTGTTGGTCATCTGACAAACAGAAAGCAGCAATGTTTTTCCTTAAAGCAAGAAAGAGAGGAATATGAGAAGTTGCATGAGGTTCATGCACATAACAAGCCCAAGCTATGATTCAGGATTATCTCTAAACCTTGCTTGCCTTCTTTTGCTCCTTTTCTCGTATACAGGCAAAGGGAGGAACCCACCCTCTATGAGAATTTAGAGAACATGAAAGGGAAAAAAGAAGAGAAGGGTCAAAAACAGTGGCCTTCAGGGAAGGAAAAGAAACCTAAAGGCTCTTTGAAGAAAAAGTAATGCTTGCTGGCTCCATTCACAGTAAACATGTGGCCTTGTTCCCTGCTAGCAACTTTCTCTAGAGGTTTACAGAATTGTAGAGGGCTGTCCAAGATACTTTGGTCCTTGCATGGAAAACCCAGATGGTACTTTCTCCTTTCCTCAGCTCATTCATTTTCTCTCCTCCTGTGGTCCCTTACCTATATTATTTCAAACTCTCTTAGACATCTCTGTTTGGATGTTTATTTCATTTGCATGTGGCATCTTTAACACGTTGCCCTTGTGCAGATGGGGGTTCTCAGCCACCAGCTTATGCCTTCTCCTTCCTTACCTCTTAAATCTCCCCATCTTCCAGCACATCTACTAGCTAGGTCTGCTTTCAAGTCTCGGCTATTTTTGAGTCCGTGCCAAGTACCTTGCTCTTCAGTCTAGATGCTAAAACTTCTGCTTGTTCTCTGAATTCCCTAGACCTCTCCAAAAGGGCCTTGTCCTTCTCATTTTTTGGAATGCAGCCCTTGCTAGATGGTTCCAAGCCTAGAATGGATCCAGAGCTGGCAAACTCTGCACTTCCGCTTTGGGCCATTCCAGTTACTGTATTGGACCAAGAAGCTGGATACACTGCTTTTAAATAAGCATTGCTTCCATAGCTTTACCTTTACAATCCAGTTTTTCCTACTGCCTGTTTGAAACTTCATCAGATCAAAGCTGACCGGGTTCCATTTACAGCTGGGAACCATAAGCTCAACAGCAATCTGTCTAGTCACCAACCATTTGCAATTGCACTCTGTAAATAAACCAGATATTTGTTTGGTATGTGCCCCCTCTCACTCTCTGAGTATATGTATTTAATATATTAACTGGAATTTGAAGCAGAGGTTCCATGGGGACTCTTGGATAAGCGTGTGCGTCACGGAGGGATCCGTATGTGTTGGCAGACAAGTAACCAATCTGTCACTGGCAAAATACAGGTATTTGCTCCTTCCAGTGTCTAAGACTGCACGTTTTGGATTTTTAAGCTTGCTTCTTTTTTTGTTTTGCAAAAATATGTGTAAAACTAATGAACACTGAAATCAGCATGCGGCATACAGTTCAGCACCCGATAGAACTGTTGCATGGATGTAGGCTATAAATATTTCAGGCTGCCCTGGGATGTACCACGTAATATGTAATATTAAAAATGAAACATTACTGTACTTTTAATTTATTCTGAAATCATTTAGTTTTCCACATGAGTTTAAAGGGAGAGCAAAAATCAAAAGACACTTGGATTAAAATGGGCTGGGGGAATGCTAGGGATCAGAGAAATGCTTTGCAGCCATATTCAGGCTATGTTTTGTATTTGTTACCCATCCAGAGTCTGTTAGGATTGGGGCAGACTATAAATATTGGAAATTTTTAAATAAACAGTTGATTTTCTCTGCAGATTCACTGATTTGGTAGATTTCCCACTGATCCGCTGTCCTCTTTTGCGTTACAATTCCTGAACTACAGAACCCCGCAAAAAAAGATATGGTAATTCCTTATTCCTTGAGAGGTTTTTCTATCACAACACTGCCCTCTTGTGCTGCACATCAGATTATTATTTGAAACTGCTGCAAAAAGTAGTGGGTTATTGTAATCAGAGCCAGTTTGGTGTAGTGGCTAAGGCATCAGGCTAGAAACCGGGAGACTGTGAGTTCTGCCTTGGGTACAAAGCCAGCTGGGCCACCTTGGGCCAGTCCCTCTCTCTCAGCCCTAGGAAGGAGGCAAGGGCAAGCCACTTCCAAAAAACCTTGCCAAGAAAACTGCAGAGACTTGAAGACTGACTCAAAGCACCCCCGAAAGAAACCCTTTCAAAGTGGTTGAAATGTTTAAGACAGCCACCACTAGCTTGTAATAAAAGCACAATTAACAGAAAACAATTACAAACTACTGTATACTGAAATGTTGCACAAAAGCTTAACATTCAGCATACCTGAGAAAATAAAAAATCATCAACTTGGTAGCAGGGGAGCATATCAAGATAAGACACTCCTGAAGAAGTCTTTTTTGTGAGCTGGAAAGCAAGACCAGCAGAACATTTAAAACTTCTTGAGCATATAAGACCAGAGCACCCAGCGTGACCATGAACCTTCAAGGCGATTGTATAAGCCCTACTAGAACAACCCAACTGTATCTCCTGGCACTGCTGAACCACTAAGAAAGAATCCCTGTTTTCTTCGAAACAGCTTTCAGTTAATCTATTCATTCTGTATTATTTCAGAGATCAGTTCAGCACTTCTGTGTTTTATCTGACTTCACTCTGCTTTATGCAAATGTTTGATGGAAAGAAATCTGTATCGTGCCATCACCTACTGTAATGTCTGTAGAGGAGAGTAAGAGGCCGTCCCTGTCTTCCTCTGCTGCCTGTTGGAATTCACCATCAAGGAACAGAGCCACTGCAACACAAGCATTCACTTTCACACTCACATTTCCACACCAGATGTTAGTCATTCAAGGCTACATGAGTTGCCCGTGCCAAAAGTTCTACAGAGAAGGCAGGTTTGCTTGCTTATCCTTCTCCAAGCATCCATAAGGAAGATGGATGCCATTCTTAAGGCTGGAAAACAAGTTGAAATGGATCTTGCTAATTGATGTCAGTCAAATGTGCTGAGATTTATAGAAAACCAGCTTTATTGCCTTCTTCAAAAAGAGGCATGCTTATATTCAGCTTTGAAATAATCCTGCTGATTCAAAGAACTTCTATTGAGTTTTAGAATGAAGTCTTTCATTTCCTGCTTAATGTTGTGAGTGAAAAGGGATGAACGTATCTGAAGTTGGGGACGATGCAGCAGCACTTTATATTCAAAGACAGAGGTGCTTTGCACTGCATAGGGACAGTTACATAGCACCTGTCAGTAACTTCTTAAAACAGTTGCATCTTTCCAGGATCACATGGCCGCCCTCACCAGCTGCAGCACGAACCTGGGAAAAGATGCAGTTGATGTGGCTTAAGGAGTTGCAGACAGGTGGTGCGCTCTGAAGCCCCTTTTTGCCTTTGAAGCTGTAGTGCCCCACAGCCCTATTGAAAGCCATCCACTGTCTCATAAAATGGTGTTAAGATTGCTACAAATGAAGAGGGTTTTTTGTTTAAGGATGCTTAGGAGGAAAGTCATATTGTATTTCCAAAGGTTAGGCAGCACTCACTAATTGACCAGACCTGACACCAGCATCAGGTTGCAAAATTCTTTTAACTAGCCCTGTAGAATCAAATATGGGAAGAGAAATGGTGCTTTACCAGAGTAGATACTGAACTTTTACTTGAGAAAAGCTTCAAGGCATTTTTACGTGTTCACCTACAGCTACTAGTATTGTAGATTGAGTTGAATAAGCACTACCCAGTGGAAGAGGGCCTTTTCCGTTTTTATCTACTATAATCATTTCAATTTCCCCTATTGTGAAATTGTATGATTGATGCTATTATCTGGCTTGAACGGGTAATTTTTTTAAAATTGCCATTGCTTTACTGACATTTTGGTACACAATCTAGGGTGTTTTTTTATCCTTGAAGGTGTTTTTCTTCCTTTTTCTGTTTTAAAAAGGTAACAGTTCCCTCAGCTTAAGCTCCGCTCTCAGTGACTATGTGGACTACACGTAGTTGTCTTGGCAGCAACAGGAAAGTCGCCTGCCATTGCCTGTTAGGAGATAGAGAATGACTTCCCACTCTACCCTACAGCCTTGGATTTTTCTGGTAGTCTGCTATTCACATCTGAGCAAGATCCAATCCTGCCCAGCTCTCTCAAGATCAGTCATAGTCCGGGAGAAGCTGTCACCTACTATGGCAAAACACAGCCTTTAAACAAAATACACTCAGAAATTGTTAACACCAGTTGTGAGATCAGTATTTATTAAATCTGCATGCTGCCTTACTTCCAACAACTCTGGGTGGGTAATTGCCACTCCAATAGAAGCAATCTTGACTCAACCGCAAGGGTGCTAAAAAGCTGGAAACTTCTGTTCCCATCTGCACATCTCTAGTTCTGAATTGTAAGAACTGTGGTTGATCATAATCTGGCATACCAAGGGCATCTCGCTTATGTGCCAACAGGTATAATCAGGGTGGGAGTTCTAGTTCACATTTTAGCTCCTGCCATTTAGATTTTGTTGATGGTGCACTGAGAATCCAGGTAGGCTTGGGATCTAGCAAAGCACCTTCCAGCATCTTTATTTGCAAGAAAATCTCTGGGCCTCAAACAAACCCTGCATTAAAAAAAAAAAAGGAAAATGTGTCCACCTTCTTGTGGGGGGAACAAAAGGTAAGCTAGGGAACTTCCTGGGGGCAACAAAAAGCAATTCAGTTTGCCTTCTGGTAAAACGTTTGTTCTGACCTGTCATGCCCATTACACCATTTTATGATGGGGCATCTCCTCACAGCAGCCATATTGTGAGAGTGCCCTTTACATGCTTTAAAAATCTCAAGTGTGCCCAACAGCTCAAATTACTATATTAGCTTATTCCATTGCACAGATAGACCAGCAGGTATTACTCATATACTGTTTTCATTTGAAGAAAATAATATATTTTAAAATAAAAATTCTGAAACTAAGTGATTAGCTATCTTCATTATTTTTAAATAATCATCCCTAGTTTTCTTCTCCATTGGAGCAATCAAACTGGGTATGCTCTGATCCCAAGGAAAATCCTCATGTGAAACTATCTGCCACCAAAGATTATTTTTCTCTCAATACAGCTTTAGGAAGAACTGTCCCCAAGGTAACAGCAAAAGAAAGAAGTTAAACCAGCTATCCAGACATTCAACTATTCTTCCCCCCAATATCTTGGACGTTACTGCCCATATAGGACTTTTAATAAAGTCTGTGGTAGGACACGAAGCATGATTGATCAGCTTTACTTCTGTGGGTTGTAAGTTAATGTAGTTTGGTTAAGCATCACTCAAGAACCAGTTTGGTGTAGTAGTTAAAGGCACCAAATTATAAATTGGGAGACTGTGAATTCAGCCTTAGGCCCCCAAGCCAGCTGGGTGACTTTGGGCTGGTCTCTTGCTCTTAACCCTAGGAAGGAGGCAATGGCAAACCACTTCCAAATAGAACAGCAAAAACTGATAAAAAGAAAATATTATTGTGTGGAAGACGGAAAATGCAGGTACTCTGAAAGAAGATGGGGAAAACCCCAGTGGTCTACTGAGAACTACAGCAACGCATTGCCACCTGCCTTCCATTTCCTCCCCACTACACACATGCTTTAACACAAGTAGATGTTACAGTGAAGTGATCTTTAAAAGCAGATGGATGGGTAATTTTTCTCCTTTTTGCATAAGTACTCTCTGATGTGAAAAATCCATCCCCTTAAAAATGAAAATAAATATATCAGAATCTTCTATCAGAAGATTTTTGGACCTGATTTTATTTTTATAAAGATGTGAATCACAAGGCAACAGAAGTTACATAGATAAAATATCACAGCACTTGCAAAAGTCCTGTGACCCATCTATTCCTGAGATGAGATGTTCAGTGGGGAACAGTGAAGGGAAAGGTCAGCCAGAAATGACAAATGGAAGAGCCAGGGATTTTATATATAAGGCATGACACCAACCCATCAGGAACTATCAAAGACAATTTGATCTACTTAAAAATCAGCCCAGATAGAGAAAATTGCATAACGCAACCCCTTTGCTTCCCCCAGCCAACATCTGATCCTTCAGGATGGGATTAAGTATCTAAGGGAACTCCATTGCAGCATGAAATCAAATTCTGTAGCTGATTCCTACTGCTGATATTCTCAGAAAAATGGAACCACATTAGCCAGAAAGGGTCCATTAGTGAGGGACGAGTTGGGAAGTTGACAAGGGTGAAAATGACAACTGAAAGGAAATCCCAAAAGGATATCTGTGGACCCCAAAGATGTGCGCTATCCAAACAGCCCAGTATCCCCATTCTGTCAGTCATCTGTGTGGTTCAAGGAGACAACGGCTACTTCATTTCTTTGTCTGTTTGATCAGGAGACTGTCGCTGGAAGAGAAACAAAGATACAGCAAAGGACTGTGAGAAATGTGCCACAATATGGGCTTGGGGACCAAGCATGGAGCAAGCCTTAATTTCTATGGTTAACACACAGCATGAGTAATTAATGGTTCACACATATAAACATGGATTTGGTAGCTTAATTCCTAGAGGCCGAAAAGCAGGTTTGTCCTTATGCTGTTGTTTAGTTTCTACAACATCTTTTTTCGTTGTTTGGATATAGAAATTTTCTATTTTTTTCTGCTATTTTTCTTCACCTAGCTTCATGAGAATAAAAGTAAGTCAAGTCATAACTTTGGGTAACTGATTTTGTTAAGGGAAGACAACCAATGATATCCAATGCCTAACTCAGAAATTTACTCTGAATCTCTTATTATTAGACCAAACCTTTAAAAATTTGCCTGACTGACCCATAAAATAATAGTCATTTAAATGAAAAGTCCTAAGAATGGAACCACTAGAAGGCCTTCCCTTTCTTTCATACTTCCTTATGGGAAGACTATAATGAGCTGTTCTTGATCACACACTTTCCCACTTTTCCAACATTTTGTTATAATGTCATAATCATTACGTCATCATCATTATTAAATTTATATGCCACTTGACTCACAACAACTCTGGGTGGTTTACAAATTTTAACAATTTAACAATTAAAAACAAAGAACCCCTCCCCAAAAAACCCAAAACAAAAGAATAAAGGTAGCAGTTTACTAAAGAATAAATATTTCATACAAAATATTCTACTTAAATATAGTAAGGGCACATAACATTTCAAACTAAATTCTAAACTGTATAGCCTTTAAGATTCTAGATCAGTGTTTGTCAACCTTGGCAACTTTAAGATATGTGGGCTCCAACTCCCAGAATTCTGGGAGCTGAAGTCCACATATCTTAAAGTTGCCAAGGTTGATAAACACTATTCTAAATAAACCGACATTCAGATGAAATTTGCTCAGTTGATACAAATATGCCAAATCGTGTCACTGACAAACTACAGCACTGTCCTCTTTACTTTTATAAACTCCTAGTTGCTATGACTATGAACATAACTGGAGCACCACCTAAATCATGCTGTAGGCTTCTGTCACAGATGTTCTGGGAAGCTATACATAGTTCGTTCATTTTGGCATTTTGTTTTCTACAGCTTGAAAATAAGTACAACAACTTTGTAATAAAATTAGCCCGGAGAGAACACAGCCCTGAATTTCCAGACAAACTTATCCTACTTTGGAGATGACAATGACAATACTTTGTACTCTGGATGGAGTGCTTGGCCAAGCTTGACAAAGGAACAACTTTCCATCCTGTTTCAGCTGAAAAACACCAGCAATTTGCTATTTTCAGCAGACGAAAATGGAAGAGTGGTGGCTTAATCTCCACTTGACCTCACTGTTTGTCCACTCAAGATTTCGCCACAGAAACAAAAAAGCACATGGAGGATAAATATTCACATAACACTGAATCTTTTTACTAGGAATCAAGAATTTTGATCAGAAAAATATCCTGCCTCCCCCTCGCTCAAAAAAGTGGGTGGGAAAAAACTAAGCAAGCACCCATCCAAACCATTCTTATCAAATTCACAACCCCCGTGGCTGCCTATGAGCTAAAAACAAGCATCTGTGGGAAGACTGTTCATACATCGGGGTAGTTTAACCTAACAAGGTTCCACAGATCTGCAAAGATGAGGCCAAACTTATTCCTATGCAGCTTCTTTTTCAATGAGTAAAATTCCATCAAACAACTTTTCACATGTATTGCTCAGGAGAAGCAGAAGCCAAAGCCCAAGTCTTAACCCTTCTGCGGGCCTCTCTCCTCACCACTAATATTCCCAGCACTCTAAATCTGCTGCTAATGATTCCACTTTTGCCATACTCGTTTTTACATCTATCAGAATCGAGGAAGATGATTCATCAAGACTTTTAATTAACTACCATTTGTGCATGGCTAATATAATGATGAAAGTTGAAAAGAAAAAGCAGCATTTCAGTTGATGCCATCTCAGAACAAGAACTTTCCTTTCACTCTCACATGAGGGGATTGTGTATTCAAAACAGCCTATGCTGTAATATCTACCACCTACAGCTTCTATAAATATATCGTGTGGTGTTACCAAACTAATCAGAAATAACTTTTAAGTCAATTAATTTTTTTCTCAATTAAACACTGTATGAAATGGATTTTGTGCCTTACCTTCCTCTGGATCCGGAGCAACACATAATAGCAGCAGAGGGGAGAGGAAGAGAAAAAAAGGATTAGAAAAATCTGAGAAGCCTGCTACACCTATGTTTATGGCACATGCTTTGGGAGCTAGATCTATGCTATATCCAGAAAGCAAGATATATTGTTACATTTATACTCTCTGCTCTTCTTCAAAGAAACTTAAAGCAGCATAAGATAAACAGCTTGTTAGGGGTCTCCATCCCACCACTGCTCCAGAGAGGAATTGCAGTCTTCTGAACTTTCCCTAAATCATCTTATGCTACAGTTCAGGCAATCCATCATGGGAAATCAAAATCCTGCAGAAGAGCTATTTGGATATCCACAAGCCACTCACCTAGTAAAACCTTCATCCTGTAGATTAAGCACTAAATTGTCAGCTGTAAGATACACACGGTTTTGAGATGCTGCAATCTGTAAGAGTTCAGGATAGTGGATAAAAAAAGCAGTTAGCAGAGATCCTGAAACACATGGGGGTTTGGTAGCAATATACTCAAGTACAGGTTTTTTCAACATTTAGGGGATCTTTCCTGAACCTTGCTCCCTCCAGAGGTTTGCGGCTTTAATTCATATGATCTCCTTCAAGTGTGCATGGAAATTATAGGAACTGAATGCAATATATCTGGAAGGAAGTAGGTTGGAAAAGACTGATTTGGAGATAAAAGCTTTTATACCATGGGTTGAGATTCACCACGTAAAAGAAAAAAGCAAGGCCCCTACAGAAGCATGCTATGAAATCTGTAGACAAAACTCTCTCTTCCCTTTTGAAAACTGATTTATTCTTCTGATGTCATCAGTCATGGGCTCTGCTTTATCAGATTCCAGAACACAGACAACAGGTGTGGAATTTCAATTTGTCACAGAAAACAAGAATTAAATTCCAGATAGTTCCAGGTCCATCAGTCTTCTAAATGCCTGAATTCATTCTGCTTCTCCACCTGATTTTGTTCCTGCTGTGAGCCTTTTCCTGGTCCATGGCACACTATACTCTGCAAGTGACCATGGCTGGGTGTGGCCCACTGAAATGATGTGAGCCTGCTCTTACAACAAAAGTCAAATGTTTCTTGGCTCTTGTTAAGATGGGGAGATGGCCTCAATAAGCAGGCACTGCTGGTGAAGACAGACACTAGGAGAAGCATATCATATTCGCCTTGGATTCATCACTTGGCCTGGTACAGTGTGAAAGCAACAACTGAGGGTGTACATGTATACATATATGTAAAAGCAACCCCCCTAGACTAACACTCACCGTTTTGGAGATATTTTGGGCAGCACGGATCTTGCGCAGCTTGATATAACCTGGGTTCTTGCTGAGGGCTTCTCCAATGTGAGCAATCAGTTAAGGTTGCATTTCTTAAAGGTTTTGAACTTGGGCACCATCTTTGGCCACCCCTTCAGCGACGATTAAGCTGCATCACTTACTCAAAACCATATTTTGTGCTGGATCACTGTGCCCCTGCATTCTACTGCCACACCCAAAGCATCTGGAACCAATAGCAAACTTTCTCCCTCACATCAAAGCAAGGATATCATTTTAGCAGCTGTGGCTTCTCCTTCTGCCTGAACGATCTTCTGCCTTTGCTCCTGCTTTGCTTTTTCCACAAGGAATTGTGCTCGCTGAGCCTCCTGTTGGGCTAGAGAAGTAAACAACTCATGATAATATACACACACAATTTTCTTGAACAATAGTTTTAAGAGCACTTAGCTCTTTTTACAATTCAGTATTATACGTATGGATTCAACAGTTTTTATTATATCCAGCCAAGGTTACTCAAGAATATGTACACTGTGCAGCATTCCTTCATGCTGCTGTTGGAGGCAAGCAATCAAAGCTCTAAACAGGTTTTCAGTTTTGTGGTAAATTTTGCATCTGGGCAGAACTACTTCAGGCTGCAGAGAAAGTATGACAAGGTAGGATGGGCTACCATATTCCTACATCTAAAAAACAAGCACCTCTGGGAGAATGCTTCTATCTCAGATTTTTCATCCCCAACATGGTACCTGTATGCATGGATATTTTTTTTAAAGATATGAAAGAGTACAGACAAATATTAGTACAGTGGTACTTCGGGTTACGAACTTAATCCGTTCCGTGACTCTGGTCGCAACCCGAATTGGTCGCAACCCG